AAATATTCTACGTTATTGTAAGCCTTGAAGTTAAGTAGCACCAGTCCTCCAACTTTTTTCTTCTCCCTCAATATTTTCTCGGCTATTCTTCATTTACACAAAAGTAACTTGCTGGGATTTTGACTGGGATAGCATATTAATCTATGTATTAAGTTTGGAAAAACTGACATTTTAGCAATATTGAATCTTCCTATCTGTGAACAGGGAATATCTCTACATTTAATTCTTCTTTGATTTCTTTCATCAGGATTTATTGATTTTCCTATAGGTCTTATGCATATTGTGTTATATTTATACCTAAATTTAATTTGTCCTTAGCTTCATTTATTGAGGTACTAAATGATACTATTTTTAATTTCATCTTGTACTTACTCATTGTAGTGTACAGCATTGACTTTTATGTGCTAATTTCCATACTGCATCCTTGCTACAACCATTTATTAGTTCTAGGAGATATTTGTTGTTGTTAATTCTTCTGGATTTTTTTTTTTTACATAGACAATCATGTCCCCTTGTGAATGAAGTTTTAATTCTTCCTTCCCAGTCTGTGTACCTTTCATTTCCTTTTCTTCTCTTAGCTAGGATAAGGTTAAGTCCAGGAATTAGCTCAGACTTTTAGCAGGATATTGAAAAATTATGATGAAAGGGGCCAAATGAGTCCTTGCCTTGATCCTGACATTTGTAGCAAAGCCTAGAGTTTTTCATTGTTAAGTGCACCATTAGTTTAGGTTTCCTTGGGTAGTTTCTATCAGGTTGAGGAAGTTCACCTCTTGAGAAATTTTTAAGCAGCAGAGTGATGTATGCAGATCCACATTTTCTGGCTACAGAATGGGGACAGTAAGGAAATTGTTGGAATGCTCCTGGGGTTAGACGTGAGTGGCCCTAATGAGAGTGCAGACAGGGAGTTTTGGAAAGATGGAGGATAATTTAGAATTATTCACTTGTAAGCTGAAAGGAACCTTGACAGCTAATGTAGTTTTTCTTTTACAATTCATGAACAACCTGAGGTCAGAGAGGGTTAATTGAGTTACACCTATAGTGATTTTCTCTTTTTCCCCTGCTCTTTTCATATTTCTTAAGGCATTTCTCAGAATCACCCAATTAAGACCTTCATCCTTTCACACCTGAATAATTTACTTAATTTAATTTTGCTTTTGCCTAATGTATCTGTCCTTTCGTTTGTATCATCTGGTCCTGGAGACAGAGAAGACGCTAATTAACTTGCTCCATGGAGCCGCACTCTCAAATGAATCACAAACACTGCTTGAAAGTGAAGGGATGTCAGTAAGAAAAGTGAACTCCACAAATGGAGAATGTGGGAAGGCCTTCCTAGTACATATTTCTGGAATAGTCTTTGAAAAGTTTCAAGCAAAGCTACAGAACTCTAGTGACCTATAGACCCAGGATGCATCTTTCCAAGGCAGTTTTTTAAATTATTATTATTTTGTGTAAAATAAAAGTGAGTCTTCTAAAATCCTTCTGGAAGAAAAAATGCGTGTAAGTTAACAGCAGTGTTCTTTGGGATTGGATGTGAAAAATATTCTAAATTATTCTGATAGCAGCATACTTCACAGTTACATGTTTCTGAAGACACTATTTTTCCCTATTAATCAAAATGACCTTGGGTCAACCACAGAAGCTTGATTTTTATAATGTATTATTCTTACACAAATTCAGTGAGAAATGTTTGACTATGTCTGATAATTTCACCAGAAGTGATTTATCAGAGCCTTCTGCAAATAAGGAAAAGATCTTAATAGTGGGAACTCTACTTGCATACTCTGTAAAATTTGAGTTCATATGCTCAAAATTAACAGTCATCAAGGAAATGCAGATCAAAACCACAATGAGATACTATTTCATATCCAGCAGAATGGCTAAAATTAAAGGCCTGATAATACTAAATGTTGGTGAAGATGTGAGGCTACTAGACCCACCATCCTCATATGTTGACAATGAAATGGTACAGCCTCTTTGGAAGAGTCTGGTACTTCCAAACGAAATTTTTTTTGAATTTTTTTATTTTTTTGACAGGCAGAGTGGACAGTGAGAGAGAGAGACAGAGAGAAAGGTCTTCCTTTTGCCGTTGGTTCACCCTCCAATGGCCGCCGTGGCCGGCACGCTGCGTCCGGCGCACCGCGCTGATCCAATGGCAGGAGCCAGGTACTTCTCCTGGTCTCCCATGGGGTGCAGGGCCCAAGCACCTGGGCCATCCTCCACTGCAATCCCTGGCCACAGCAGAGAGCTGGCCTGGAAGAGGGGCAACCGGGACAGAATCCGGCGCCCCGACCAGGACTAGAACCCGGTGTGCCGGCACCGTTAGGTGGAGGCTTAGCCTAGTGAGCCGCGGTGCCGGTTTCCAAACGAAATTTTAAAGATACCTTCTCTGAGACTTAGTAATTATTTAAAATATGGTGAGCCCTCAATATCTGTATTCCACATCCATGAATTCAATCAACCGTGTATCAAAAATATTCAAACACTGTGTCTATACTAGACATGTATACACATTTTTTCTTGTCATTATTCCCTACAGAATACAACTATTTACATAGTATTTACATTGTTTTAGGTATTATAAGTAATCTAGATATAGTCTGAGATATACAAGAGGAATATACAGATTCTGTGCAAATGCTACACCATTTTATATAAGAGACTTAAGTATTTGTGGATTTGGGTATCCAAGAAAGGAAGGGGGGTGTCTTGGAACCGACCCTCTTTGGGTATCAAGGGGTGACTGTATTACCAAAATGTTCAACTTGAGTATTCTAGGAAAGATAGAAGAACAAGATAAATATCACCACAAAGAAACAATTCGACAAATTCAGATTGTGGACAATTCTACAAGTGGCTAGAACTTTTCAGAGTCAGTCATGGGAAGGAAAAAAAATCAGACTGATCTATATTAAAAGACAGTAAAGAGGGGTAATATCAGCAAAATGAAAGAAGAGGCAACTCTATGCTTTAATCCCCCATCAAGGAAACATTGGGAAAAAAAAAAAAAAAGGAGAAACTGTCAGAACCAAGCAACCTACTAAGATGGCCAGGTTTTGTTTTGTTATAAAAAAGGAAAAAACAATGTTGGTGAAGATGTGAATAAAGTGAAACACTGGTATGTTGCTGATGGGAATGGAAAATGATGCAACTGCACTGATAACAGCTCAGTAGTTTCTCCAAAAGCTAACTATGGCGTTATCCTATGAGCCAACAATTTCACCCCCAGGTATATAGTAAAAGAAACAGAGATTCAAACAGATACTTATACACCAATGTTCTCTGCAGCATTATTCATAATCAAAAGATGGAGATAGCCAACTGTGCAGCCACAATGAATGATACACAGTGATGATACACATGAATGAATGAGTGATACACAAGTTGTGGTATATGCATCCAATGGACTATTATTCATTCATAAGAAGAAATGGAATTCTACACACTGTAACATAAATGAACCTTGAAAATATGCTGAGGGGCCGGCGCTGTGGCTCACTTGGTTAATCCTCTGCCTGCGGCACCGACGTCCCATATGGGCACCGGATTCTAGTCCCAGTTGCTCCTCTCCCAGTCCAGCTCTCTGCTGTGGCCTGGGAAAGCAGTGGATGATGGCCCAGGTGCTTGGGCCCCTGCACCCCTACGGGAGACCAGGAGGAAGCACCTGGCTCCTGGCTTCAGATCAGCGTAGCTCTGGCCGTGGCAGCCATTTAGGGGGTGAACCAACAGAAGGAAGACCTTTCTCTCTGTCTCTCTCACTACTAACTCTATCTGTCAAATTAAAAAAAAGAAAGAAAGAAAATATGCTGAGAGAAGCCAAATGCTAAAAGGACAAATATTGTTATGACTCCACTTATCATAATAAGTTAGGAAGAAAAGTAACGTTTTAAAACGCACACCACTCTACCTTTCCACATGTTGGCATCAATCCTTTCGGACTTTTTTATATGCCGAAGAAAAAAACATCCCTTTAAAAGTAACAACACCCGATCAAATGCATAAAGGTTTCTATTCAGCCAAGTAAGCTAACAATGTTTAAGTATATCCTGCCACAGCCAGAACAAAAATTAATACGAAAAGATTTGAGTTTTCTCTAATTGCACCATAATTTTTTAATGTACCTCATTGTTTATCAACTAGAATTCACAAAAATCATGTAAGAGCAGACAAAGGAGAAATCTGTAACCATTTTAGCAACTGCAGTATAATCTAGGGGCTTCCTCCTAACACCTCATTCAGTCAAGGTTAAGTTGTTGACATTTAAAAATTTTGCTGTTCAATCATTTAACAACTATTCCCTGTCTACCCTGTGGGGTTCCAGCGCTGTGGCTGGCTACACAAATGCACAAGACACTCAAGCTCACTTTGGCACCAGAACTCACTTGCATTACGTGCCCAGCTCTCATCTAGTCATTGCGGGAGCGCTCGGTGGAGGAAGTGACGTTTAATCTGAGACCTGAGGAATGCAGAGGAGTTAACCATGCCCGCGTGCCACTACAGGAGCGGTGGTCAGCGTCTTGTGGGCAAGTCTCTTAACCCCGCTGTGCCTCAGAGACCACGTTGTTAAGTCTTCCATCATGAACACTGCGGGTTGGGTCCACGTCTGGCACATAGCAGCTAAATGTATTGGGCACTTGTGATTTTTGCCACAGTGTGGTATAGGCTTGACGTTGGGAGCGACAACACGAAACGAGACGTACCCGCTATTGGTCCTAGGTGTCCAGCCCTTGCCTGTTTTTGTAGCAAAACAAGCCTTCCTTCCACACAGAACATACAGTATAGAAAATACTTATTTCCTTAAAACATTTACGTCTTTGTTCCCGTTTTTGCCTTCTCCATGGGAAGCAAGGCATGGCGCTGAGGGTTCCCTGAGGGAACGTTGCGGGTCGCAAAAGCGAGGAACGCGGGATTCAGCCTTGGAACCCCGGCAGCGCCAGCGAAGCCGGTTGCCCCGGGAGCCGCCGGCTGAGCGCCCCCGCCAGTACGGCCCGCTCTGATTGGTCCAGCCTGCGGCTCTCCCGTCCTAGGTATCCAATTGGCGTAGAGCTTGTTGAGCGACAGCTGCGGTAACCGACGTACACAAGAGGATTGAGCGACTTGTGGAGGGAGGCGGAGGCCAGACCATGAACTTGGGGTAAGCTGGGACTGGGAAGGTGGTCGTCAGCTGGGAAGTGGGTGACCTCAGTCACTCCGTGGAGTCTTTCACGGAGAACCTTCCAGACTGCCGCCGCTGGAAGCGGCAGAGCCCAGCGCCCTGAGATAGAGGGGGATAGGGCAGCCTTTCCCGACGCCGCGGACCCTATTTTTCACTAAATAACTCGCGTTAAAACTCTCCGGGACCTCCTCTGCGGCCTTTTAGCTCTGGGTGGGGAGGAGCGAAGAGGCGTGGAGGAGAAACGAGGAGGGCGGTTGGAGAGAGGTGGTCTAGCGGCTTCCCGGGGCGGGGTTGGGAGCGCGGAATCCTGGCCCAGGCCCGGAGTGTGGGGCGAGCCTGGCTTGGGGTCTCGCAGAAGATCGGAGCACCCACGTGTGTGCAAGGCCGACCAGGCCAGGAACCGGGGCTTCTCGAGTAGTGGGCGGATAACTAAGGAGTGATGGGTGTTTTTCATCCCTCTCGGAGAGTTGTTAATTTTAGGAAGATGAAAAATCAACGAAATCAGGCCTAATTGCACACCCAGTGTAGCAAATGAACGTCGTGTTCTGTCATCTGGGGACGTAAGAAACTACGTAAGGACAGCCTGTCCCTTAAGTCGTGGACTGTGCTGGGCAGGGCGGAGACAGCTGGAAGTTTCATTCAGGGGGTTTTCTTTCTGGGGGGTGACGTTTCACCAACAGAGACCCTGAACTGTTCATGACCCCGCAGTGGGGAAACCCTTCGAACCTAGTCCTGCCGGTGTTTTGCCTTTAATAAAGCGAGATCCTTTGCTCATCCCCATCTGAGCCGCTCCGCACATTGCCCCCTCCCTTGACTGCTTGAGTTAATTTTATCTCCTGGACTTCACTTTTGTCACATACACCTTTTTTTTTTTTTTTCTCCCTATCCTGGTAAGACACTGAATTAATGTTTGGGCTGTCGTTTTGTTTCTGTGGAGTTTTTTATTTAGGACCTTATGGGGTGAACGGGTTTTGTTGGCAGTGTCTCCTGTTACTTTATGCCCATGCTTTTGACATGCATATTATTGTAAATATATTGTTGATGTGAAAATGTTTTTATTAGAAATATTCAAAATAAAATGGAAATTGTGACCAAGCAAATGTTTCAGCACTCCTTTATTATATGAGATCGTTATCAAACTAATTAGATGCGACTTGTTTCTCAGCTGAGGTGTTTGGTAACAGCATTATTCTTCCAAGTCTAAAATTATGAGAGTTAAATGGTCTAACAACAATTAACTTATTGCTTACTAACAGTTGAGTTCTGTAGGTTAGAGATTAATTCATATTGAAAACTTTGAATAATTTTCTCCCTGTAGTTTTTGAAAGTTTTGTCTTGGATTGAAAAAACATTTCTAATTAAATGATTTGTTTGATATTTACAGGATACCTATATACATTTAAAGAAACATTTACTTTTTGGGTTTATATGAACATTTCTGGCTGATTGAAATGTTGATATTTCTTAAAAATAATGAACAACTCTGTTTATATTGCAGAGATGGTTTAAAGCTTGAAACTGAGCTACTGGATGGGAAAACCAAGCTAATACTGTCTCCATTTGGTATGCTGTGTTACTGGAAATCTACAGTGTTGACTTAAGTTCCTGTATAAGATTTAAGTTTAACTTGTTTTGCATGTAAAAGAGTTACATTTAAATAATATTTTGAAAACTGCTTCCTCAGATTTGTGCAGATTTACTTTTAGTCAGATAAACTCAGGTTATATCACAGCTTTACTATTGTCAATATGCAGATTCATAAAATTTAATGTTTCAGTATATTGTGTGTGTAAAACATCTGTTATAGTTACATATAGCATATGTTCTTATTGCCTGATGATTAACATAGGTAAAATTTATGTAATTGTTTTTTCCACATAACACTTTATTGTTAGAGAAAGTAAATTTAAATAAGACCACAGATGCTTAAGACATTTTTAGTGTTAGTTTTAAAACTCAATATAGTAGTACTCTTAACCTTTGGTAGTCAAATGCTTATCTTATTCCCCTCCCCATCCTGTGATCTATTTATAGTTTTACCTTAAAAAAATAACCAAAATAAACCAAACAGAAGTAAATACTTGAATCCCGCTGTAAGAACACTCAACATCTGAACCCCATTGTAAAAGACCACTCAGCATCTAAAGTTAATGCTTTTGTGGACAATATTTCTGCCTTAACATCTTAACTAATGCTACTTAAAATTTTCTTTCCTGACTGCCTTAATATGTTTTTGGTTGATAGTTTAGTAATTTCTTTTTTCTTTTGTAGAACATAAATCAAAAATTTCTGTAAAGGTAAGCTAATTGATTTTCCACCTGACCTGTTTTCAGATGTAAAGTGCAATTTTTTTTTTATTTATTTATTTTTTTTTTGCAGTGCTTTGAAAATAAGTACTGGGAAATATGAAAGTGTTCTAAGGGGTTTGAAGCGATGATGGGAAGTTAATGCTGCATTGCTTTGAGGCTTGTCTTTTCACCGAAATGGAGTCATAATTGTTCAGTTTAAAAAGCTCTGTGGAATCCTTTTCTCTTGATCAGTCCTATCTGGTAGTTTTCTTTAGTGATAGGAATGTTCTGAAATCAGTGTTATATGGTAACCTCGTGTAGTTACTGAGCACTTAAAATGTGGCTACTGTGACTAAGGAACTGAATTTCTAACTTCAGGTAATATTTTTTAAAGATTTATTTATTTATTTGAAAGTCAGAGTTACACAGAAGGAGAGGCAGAGAGAGAGAGAGAGAGAGAGAACTTCCATCCACTGGTTTACTCCCCAATTGGACATAACGGTCAGAGCTGTGTCAATCCGAAACCAGGAGCCAGGAGCTTCTTCCAGGTCTCCCACATGGGTGCAGGGGCCCAAGGACTCGGGCCATCTTCAGCTGCTTTCCTAAGCCATAGCAGAGAGCTGGATAGGAATTGGACAACTGGAACCTGAACCCTCGCCCATATGGGATGCTGGCATTACAGGTGGCAGCTTTACCTGCTACACCACAGCACCGGCCCCACTTCATGTAATTTTTAATTGATTTAAGTTTAATAGTTCCATCCTGGACTGTACAGCTCCAGAGACATTTAAAAATAGATAATCGGGATGGATGTTGTGCTACAGCAGGTTAAGCTATAGCTTAGAACAATCGCATTGCATATTGGAGCACCTGGGATCAACTCTTGGCTCAGCCACTCCTTTTTCTGCATTACCATTTAAAAACTTGTTTTGTTACTGCTTTTTTTGTTCCTTATTTTTTTCATTTTTAGATTTAACATTGGCATAAATTTCTCCTTGTAGTTCTTAAAATCTTTGCTTGTCTGTGGATAGGACCCAGTTTGACTGATCTGACACTTTTCCCTTCAACTCTGAGCCCTTGATGGCTTGGTTTTTCTTTCCAGGTATAATCAAGATAGAGAAATTGCTGGAGTAATCACTTAATATATGGGTGATGATAATCAGAGAAGTTCCACAGGATACCTGTAAAAATTATATGTCTCTATTTATTTGCGGTAGTCACCCCTACCCATCTATTGTTTTGCTTTCCATGGTATCAGGTAACCCACGGTTAACTTTGTTACAAAAATGTTAAATGGAGAATTCCAGAAATTAGCAATTCATGTGTTTTAAGTTGTGCATCATTTGTAGCAGCATGATAAAATCTTACTCTGCCCTGCCTAGGACATGAACCAATCTTTGGTGCAGCATATCCAAGTGGTATACCCTACCTGCCCATTATTCACCTAGTAGCCATGTTGGTTACCATACTGATTGTTGTGATATTGTAGTACTTATATATAGGTCTCAGTACTGTCTGTCCTTTTGGACATGCACTGAGGATTTTGGAATATATCCCCCATCAGTGTTCTATAGTTAAATACTTGGCGTGTGTCCTTAATCATAAAATATAGATGATGTATTACTTTCTTTCCCTTTACTATTAATATATTTCAATTAGCTGCTTTTATCTGAGTCACATTAAAAAATACAGTCCCCTTTTCCAACTTCCTAGCTGAAAAGCTACATAAAATGTTTGGTTTGGGATTCTACAGGGTTTTCTTCACATTTCTTATTCCTGTTGATATCCTTAATAGATTTGCTGTAGTCACCACATTTTGAAATCATTTTGTTGTCTTTTTGCTTACGTGAAAGGCGAATAATAGAGAAGAAATCTATCCTCTGGTTCCCTCCTCAAATGGCCTCAACAGCCAGACATGTGCCAGGCCAAAGCCAAGAGCTAGGAACTCCATGCTAGTCTCCCACATGGTGGCAGGAGCCACTGCCTTTCCAGGTACATTAGCAGGAAGCTGGATTGGAAGCTGAGCAGCAAGGACTAGAACTGGCACTCTGATGTGAGATGCCAGTGTTTTAAGTAGTAGTTTTACACACTGTGCTACACCCTGGCCCCATTTTGTTGTCTTTTTAAAAGTTTTATTTATTTGAGAGAGAGAGCTTCCATCTGCTAGTTCATTCCCAGGCCATAGCGAAAAGCTGGATCTGAAGAGGAGCAGCCAGGACTCAAACTGGCACCCATATAGAATGCTAGTGCTCCAGCAGAGGCTTAGTCCACCGTGCCACAGTGCTGGCCCTAAATAAATCTTTAAAATTTTTTTTTTTTTTTGGCAGGCAGAGTGGACTGTGAGAGAGAGAGACAGAGAGAAAGGTCTTCCTTTTCCGTTAGTTCACTCCCCAGTGGCTGCGCTGATCCGAAGGCAGGAGCCAGGTGCTTCTCCTGGTCTCCCATGCAGGTGCAGGATCCAAGCACTTGGGCCATCCTCCACTGCACTCCCGTGCCACAGCAGAGAGCTAGTCTGGAAGAGAAGCAACCGGGACAGAATCCGGCACCCTGACCGGGACTAGAACCCGGTGTGCCGGCGCCGCAGGTGGAGGATTAGCCTATTGAGCTGCGGTGCCGGCTAAAAAATTTTTTCCTGATGCCAGATAAATTGTGAAGTCAGCCAATATCAAATAAATGCATTAAACATTGTCTTTATAGTATTAGGGAAAATACTGGTTTTGGGTCTGGCACTATTGCATAGTAGGTTAAACCTCTGCCTGTGGCACTGGCATCCATGGGCACTGGTTCCAGTCCTGGCTGCTCCACTTCTGGTCCAGCTCTCCAGGATTGGCCTGGGAAAGCCATGGAAGATGGCCCAAGTACTCGGGCCCCTGCACCTAGATGGGAGACCCGAAAGAAGCTTGTGGTTCCTGGCTTTGGATCGGCCTATATCCAGCCATTGCAGCCATCTAGGTAGTGGAATGGAAGCAGAAATCAGCTGATGGAAGACCTCTCCCTCTGTCTCTCCTCTCTATCTGTAACTCTGCCTCTCAAATAAATAAGTAATAAATCTAAAAAAAAAAATACTGGTTTTATGACATGAAAAGCCTTGTTTGATTCATCTAATCCAGTAAACACTTGAGAAATATGTTTGCTTTTTTTTTTTTTAAGATGTACTTATTTATTTGAAATGCATCGACAGATATCTTCCATCTGCTGGTTCATTCCCAAATGGCCATGACAGCTGAGTCTGGGCCAAACTAAAATCAGGAGCCAGGAACTCACTCCAGGTCTCCCACATGGCTGAAGTCCAAGTTTTTGGGCCATGTTCCACTGCTTTCCCAGGAGTACTAGCAGGGAGATAGATTGGAAACAGAGCTACCAGGACTCAAAACCATGCTCTGAAATGGGATGCTGGCATTGCATGTATTGGCTTAACACGCCGTGCCACAACACTGGCCCCAAATATACTCTTTTCTAATTTAGTAATCTGAACATAATTGAATCTGGTAGTTTATGATTTTTTGCTGCCTTCATTTGTTTTTCCTTTCTGGTTTTAAGGTACAAGTACTTGGAGTATTTCATTGTTAGACTGGATGTATATTCACCTTATATCAGGTCATTACCCTTTAAAAAATGCTTTTGAAGACTTTATTTCTGAAGTAACTGTGATGTGGCAAAATAATTCAGTTAAATTAGAATTCCAGTTAATAGAGTTTATGTAGCAAAGGTTTATTACACTTGTAAGATTTCAGTATGTATGTAGGACTCCACTGGGGGTGAGAGGTGGGATGAGGAATAAATCCCTGTTCCTGCTTTCTAGAAGTTGGGTATCAAGTAAATAACTATATATTAGAAATAAAGAGTGCTATACTATGTTTATGCAAAAACGAGAAAACATTGGAAAGAAAAGCTCGTTCTGGTTTGGAGAGACGGGAATGCTTCATGAATAAGGTGACATCTTAGTTAGAACTTAATATTAGAGAGTGATTTGTAGTCAAGGATGTAAGGAAGTATATTCCAAGCTTGAAGGAAATAGCAACTTATTAAGATATGTAGCATGAATTGAATTTCGGTAATACTGTGTACATTTGTGTGCTTGAGGACTTTGAAATTATTTAATAGGAATATAAGGAGCCATTAAAAGAATTTTTGAAACAGGGACTTCTTATAATCTGTGGTTTTAGGAAATAGTTTCAGGGTAGTTTTGTGAAGGACAGATAATCATACAAGAGGGTCAGTTCAATTCTGATTGCAGTAGTCCAAGGGAGAATTTTAAAACAAGGCCTTGTCTTGCATGGTAGCTAGAGGAATGGAAATGGGCAGAAGTAAGATGATTTCAAGGTATGTTATGGGAATACACTGTACTTAGCAATGGGGGGAGGGGGAGATATTCAACTTGTACCTCAAAAAGGCCTGTATGAATCAGAGCAGGGCAATATTAGTAGAAAGTTAGGGTCAAAAAAATAAATAAATAAATAAAAGAAAGTTAGGGTCAAATGTGTAAGCCAGATATAGTCTGCTGATAATTGGCTTAATCCACACAGTGATTTTTCAGAAAGTTGAATGAGTTTGCCAGTATCTAAAATAATTTGTAAATGTATTATAAAATCTGACATTCTTGGTTATCTTTAAATACTGGATGATTTAGCAACTAGGCTCAGGTTACTGTTTGGCAGTCAGTGTAGAGTAGTTCTGAGTGATACCTCTCTCCTTTGGATGGAAAAAGTGCTTTTCATTTAATGCCTGTACCTATCTAGTCTAATTCATAGTAGGTATTTGAGTTTACCATCCTTCATTTAGAGAATTTGTTGTATTAAAATAGCTGCACGAATAGAAGGTAAAAAGACATTATTAATTTATTCAAGAGACAACTAGAAAGAGCTCCTACCTGTGGGTTCAAATGCCCAGGAGCCAGAAACTCAATCCAGGTCTTCCACATGGGTGACAGAGACACAACTACTGGAGCCATTACCGATGGAATTGGGAGCAGAGCTAGGGCCTGAACTCCAGTATGGGAAGCAGTGTCTTCAGGTGCTGTGTGAAGTGACTGTCATAAAAAGGCATTTTAAGATTCGGTTATTGGCCGGCGCCGTGGCTCACTAGGCTAATCCTCCGCCTAGCGGCGCCGGCACACCGGGTTCTAGTCCCGGTCGGGGCGCCGGATTCTGTCCCGGTTGCCCCTCTTCCAGGCCAGCTCTCTGCTATGGCCAGGGAGTGCAGTGGAGGATGGCCCAGGTGCTTGGGCCCTGCAACCCATGGGAGACCAGGAAAAGCACCTGGCTCCTGGCATCAGATCAGCGCGGTGCGCCGGCCGCAGTGCGCCAGCCGCGGCGGCCATTGGAGGGTGAACCAACGGCAAAGGAAGACCTTTCTCTCTGTCTCTCTCTCTCACTGTCCACTCTGCCTGTCCAAAAAAAAAAAAAGATTCAGTTATTGGTCTCATCAAAATCTTACGGGCGGATCATTGATGCAACAGTTAACACACTGCCTAGGATGCCTGCATTCCTTTGCAGAATACCAAGTTCAAGTCCCAAACTCCACTTGTGATAAAGCTTCCTGCTATTTAAAGCACACCCTGGGAAGGCAGCAGATGATAGCTCAACTAATTCAGTCCCTGCCACTCAGATCGGAGCCCTAGATGGAATTCCAGGCTCTTGGCTTTCACCTGGCCCAGCCGTAGCTGTTCTGGCCATTTGAGGAGTAAACTAACAGATGGAATTCTCTCTCTCTTTTTGTTATTCTGCTTTTTTTTTTTTTTTTTTTTTTAAGATTCATTTATTTGAAAGGCAGAGTTTACAGAGAGAGAAGACAGATCGTCCATCTGTTGGTTCACTCCCCAAATTGCTGCAATGGCTGGAGCTGGGCCAGTCCCAGTCCAAAGTCAGGAGCTTCTTCCAGGTCTCCCATGGGGATGCAGGGACCCAAGGACTTGACCCATCTTCTGCTGCTTTGCCAGGCACATTAGCAGGGAGTTGGCTGGAAAGTAGAGCATCTGAGACTCAAACCTACGACGTTATGGGATGCTGGCATCACAGGCGGCAGCTTTACCTGCTATGCCACAATGCTGGCCCCTGTTTTCCTGCCTTCCAAATCTTTTAAAAAGGAAATCTCTAAAGCATGGTGTAAGTAAGAAAAAAGTTTTCCACTGATTTCATGGCTATATGAGAAAAATAAGTTCAGTTAATGACTTTTGTTACTAAGCTATTTGCATTTCCCTTTAGGTTATGATTTGTGTTATTTGTAAAATTCTGTCAAGAGGCCGGCGCCGCAGCTCACTAGGCTAATCCTCTGCCTTGCGGCGCCGGCACACGGTTCTAGTCCCAGTCGGGGCACCGGATTCTGTCCCGCTTTGCCCCTCTTCCAGGCCAGCTCTCTGCTGTGGCCTGGGAGTGCAGTGGAGGATGGCCCAAGTCCTTGGGCCCTGCACCCCATGGGAGACCAGGAGAAGTACCTGGCTCCTGCCATCGGATCAGCGTGGTGCACCGGCTGCAGCGGCCATTGGAGAGTGAACCAACGGCAAAGGAAGACCTTTCTCTCTGTCTCTCTCTCTCACTGTCCACTCTGCCTGTCAAAAAATAAAGAAAGAAAGAAAAAGAAACACAAGGAAAGATTAGATATGATTAAACCATTTGATATAAGAAGTTGTATGGTTATCATGAGCAAGCCCTTTCATCTCTAGGCCACAGGTTCTTGACAGAAACTCACGTCTAGGATTATTGTGGAAATTAAGTAATGTATAAGACTTTAAAGCTGGATAGCAATATACCATAGTAAGTTGTTGTAATAGATATAATTTAACAATAATTTTAAAACTTGTACTTTACCTCCTAGGCCAGTGTAGTCTGAATTTAAGCAATATTCCTAATCAGCCAAAGGATGAGAACATTATAGGATTACTTCAGAAATCTGAGGCTGTGTCACCTGTCCCAGATGAAAATAAATCTGTCTTATATAAAAATCAGGAGGCATCTGTGCAGTCTGAACAGAAAACTGACATGTATGTGACTCTTACCTGCTACTGTGGGATCATCTTGGGAATATGTTTTGCTTTGATTTATTTGCATGTGAAGTATTTACTCTAAAGATTTAGAGCTATTTAAAGTTTATTAATATTTATGGAATCAGTTGAAATGTATAATGATAAGATTTCTTATATTTTTGGTGTTTTTACCTTAGAGAGAATGAATGGAAACCAGCTGACATATTCAGTACTCTGGGGGAAAGGGAACGCTATAAAAGTTTGCTGGAGGCAAAAAAGGCCCAGTGGAGGAAAGAGCTGGGTGGGTAATTTTTATCTATTTTCTTACAGTTTTGTTTGTTTGCAGAATATATATAGAGGAAGAAGTATGTCTTTTAGTGTGATTATTTTCAAAAGTCCTCTAACATTTGACTAGAGTAGGTCTAGTCAAGTTTCTTAGAAACTTTGTGCTTCCACATTGCTTTAGGTTGTGTCTTTTTATTTGGTACTCTGTGATGTACATCAAAAAGCGTTAATGTGTCTGGTATTCTGGAGTCTCTGTTGCTCAGAGATTCCTAAATTTTTCTTATTTTCAGAGAATGCTTTTTCATATTTTTATTACAGAAATCATGAATTTAAAAATGGTTTTATTAAAAAAATCATTGATTTATTCTTTAAAAAAATAAAAGTTTTTTTTTTTTTTTTAAGATTTATTTATTTGAAAGTCGGAGTTAGAGAGAGGAGAGGCAGAGAGAGAGAGGTCTTCCATCTGCTGGTTCACTCCCCAGTTGGCTGCAACAACTAGGGCTGGACTGATCTGAAGCCAGGAGCCAGGAGCTTCTTCCAGGTCTCCCACACAGGTACAGGGGCCCAAGGACTTGGGCCATCTTCTACTGGTTTCCCAGGCCATAACAGAGAGCTGGATCGGAAGTGAAGCAGCCAGAACTCGAACCGGCGCCCATATGGGTTGCCGGCACTGCAGGCGGCAGCTTTACAGCACTGGCCCTGACATACAACATTCTAATCAAGAATAATCACCTAGCCAATGAATATACTGTCATTAATGATACTAGTTGATAATTGTAGATAGAAACAAACCCACTGCTTTCTATCAGCTTGGAGACCTTATAACAGAAAAGTTTGTAATTTCTGTTAGAGTCTTGAAATTTTGTTAATAACTAAGAAAATATCCATTACTTCTCCTCCCACCCCAAGATTGATTTATTTAAGGATAGAGTATGAGAGAGAGGTGGGAGGTGGAAATAAAGAGCTGTCCTCGGGTTTATTCCCCCAGTGGCTGCAATGGCCAGGGATGGGCCAGGCTGAAGCCAGGAGCCTACAACTCCATCTGAGTATCTCAGATGGGTGGCAGGGGCCCAGGTACCTGGATCATCTGCTGCTGCTTTCCCAGGCACATTACCTACATAGGATCTGCACTGGAGGCAGAGCAGCACTTGAACTAGCACTCTGATGTAGGATGCCAGCATTATAAGTGGCAGCTTAACTCCCTGTGCCACAACATTGGCTCACACCCATTACTTCTTTTTTTTCTTAAATTTTAAATTTTTTTTTTTTTCACAGGCAGAGTAGACAGTGAGAGAGAGAGACAGAAAGGTCTTCCTTTGCCATTGGTTCACCCTCCAATGGCCACCGCGGCCGGCACGCTGCGGCTGGCGCACCGCACTGATCCGATGGCAGGAGCCAGGTACTTCTCCTGGTCTCCCATGGGGTGCAGGGCCCAAGGACTTGGGTCATCCTAACTGCACTCCCTGGCCACAGCAGAGAGCTGACCTGGAAGAGGGGCAACCGGGACAGAATCTGGCGCCCCGACCGGGACTAGAACCCGGTGTGCCGGCGCCGCAAGGTGGAGGATTAGCCTAGTGAGCTGCAGCACCGGCCCCCATTACTTCTTATTTAGGAAAATGTATGACTTGACACTTGTACTTCTCAGTAATGGCTACAAAAGGCCTGAGGATAGACTATCCTCCAATCAAACAGGAAGTCATGTAAGGCAGTCATTAAACTTGTTGGGTTATGTAATTTAGAAAAAGAAATTAGCAGCAGAAATAAGGAATGAATGATACTGGCTTTGGTCATGGTAAAAGAATGAAGAATTAAATTTATGATAGTTTCACAGGGTTTGGAGATCTGATATGTGTTTATATCACAATTTTGGCTTAATATATCTTTTTCAGTGTAAATTTAACTTTCAATACCAAATTTCTAAAATAAAGTGGAATTTCTTGGAAAAACTGAGATGTTTTATTCTTTAATTGTTTTAATAAAAACAATTTGGGGCTGGCGCTGTGGTGTAGCAGGTAAAGCTGCCACCTGCAGTGCCAGAATCCCATATGGGCCCCTGGTCAAATCCTTGCTGCTCCACTTCAATCCAGCTCCCTGCTAACATGTCTGGGAAAACAGCGGAGGATGGCCCAAGTACTTGGGCCCCTGCACACCCACAGGAGACCCAGGAGAAGCTCCTGGCTCCTGGCTTCAGATCAGCCCAGCTCCAGCTGTTGGCAGCTATTTGGGGAGTGAACCAGTGGATGAAATATTTCTCTCTCTCTCTCTCTTTAATTTTATCTTTCAAATAAAATAAATAAATCTTTAAAAATATAAAAATACACAACATACTGGAGTAGGCATTTGGCCTAGCAGTTAAGACGCTCACTTCTCTTATCAGAGTAAGTGGATTCTATATCCAGCTCTTTCACGACTGTAGCTTCCTGCTGATGCAGTCTCTGGGAGGCAACAGTGATAGCTCAAGAGTGATTGGGTTCCTGACATCCACTAAGAAAGACATAAATTGAGTTCTCATCTTCCATCTTTTACCTGGCCTGGCCCAGTCCCAGCGACTATGGCAGCCATTTGGGGAGTGAAGCAGAGATTGGGAACTTGCTTGCTTATTCTCTCTCTGCCTCTCATATAAATTTTTTTAATTCACTTTTTTTTTTAGCTTGCTCCTGTTAGCAAAGCATATTTTCATAAATTTTCTTGGAATTTAGATTTCAACATCTCTGAATTTTATATTTAAAGAACTATTAATAATGGGATTTATTTTTGACTATAGCTATGTGTTAGACACAGGATTTTGTTTAATTTGCAGCTGTTATGAGAAATAATGACAACATTTATTGAAAATTTACTTTGTGTCAGACCCTATACTGAAATAGGCACCATTATTAAACACATTTTACAGAAGAAACCAAGTTTTAGAACGGTAAACAGTAATTTGTCCACAGTCATTTAGCTGGGATATGATTAAACTTGATTGCCGGTTTCTCTGACTTCAGAGTGTTCTATCTTTTCATTCTCATTGTAATAAATGAATATTACATCAAAGTAGGACCTTTGAATATTTAACAAGTTATTTTGATAAAATTGCTCCTTATTGATAGTTATGATAAAGCAAACATTTTCACATCCTTTTGTGCCATTCTTAAGTTTCATTCCTGTTAAATATTTTATTCCATATCCCCCAAAATTCCTCTCTACCTTATGCATGAATCTCCCTGTTAAACAATTTTTATTAGATCTGTGTTAGAATCTGCACTCTAAGAAGGTCATGATTTGTTTACATGATTCTTTTTTTACAGTTTTTGTACATTTTTTTAAAAAAGGACATTATTTACAGATGAACAGGTTGCTTTAAAGAAGAAAGAAAAAGAAGTTTCTGAAAAATGGAATAATTCTTGGAAAAAATCTGATAGTGATAAAATACTGTGGGAAAAACTTCAAGATTTTGACAGATCCAGGGTAAGAATACTAAAAACAAGCATTTATGGAACACAGAACTTCTTCATTACAATTTTTAAAGTGCTAAGCAGTGTCCATATTATAAAATGTTTAAGTCTTATTTTCATATGGCATTTTGAAACTGTGTTGTTTTGTATTTAATTATGGTCTCAACTAGTCTGTTTGCATTCTGTAAGTTGTCTTGCTCTGTTAGTAGGTGAGTATAGAAGCCCCAGGCAGCTTCTTTTAAGGCCTCTGCTACAAAGGATCTGTGCAGTTTTTCAAAGGAGCACAAAATTCTACCACTAACCAGGTGGTATACACAAGATTATCAAATCAAACATAAGTTCATGTATCATAAGTAAATAGCAGGTGTCCCTCAAGTAGTACTTTTGTGATCTGTAAATTTTTATCTGTGTTCAATTTCAGATAAAATGTGTTCTTGTTTTTTCTGTTTCTTTCAGGTTTCTGCTAGCTCTTCAATCATTATGTCACCATCTCCTAATCAGGTTACAGTGGTTGAAGCTGATGAGCACTCACTACCTAGAGCTAGTCAAATTTTAGAGGTAAGTTCTAAATATCAGTAGTTAGAACGTTTAAACCCTTAAGTAGTTGACTTTTGTATAATCTTTTTTCCCTGTAGGAGTGAATCTAAGTCCTTTTTTTTTTTTAATTACCAGTTAAGTTTTCCTGAGTGTGTTTTGTTCCTTAAATTAAAAAAAAAAAAAAGCTGTTAACTGCTTTTTTACATGAGTAATCCTTTTCTCCTTGTGAACCAAATATATTCTGGAAATAATACATGAAACTTAAAGGAATGATTCTGAGCTTAGAAATTTTCAGCAATGTGACCTGATTAGCTAGATTACTTTTGGAACCTCTCCAAGTTACATTGTTTGTTTGGCTGTCTACTCTGTACCATGTAGGATTGACTGGCCTGTATTAATCTGTCTATTGAGAATTTAACATTAACAGAAGAATTAAATCTGAATTGCATTTTTCCACTGTCCCAAAAGCACTTTTGTTAAAAGGCTATAAATTAGGACTGAGAGAAATCATTTTGGAAAAACCTCTTTGTGGATGATAACTGTAAGTTTACAAAGTTCAGAAGTTGATGTGTGTGGGGAAAGGTGCTGCCTGCAAAGCTGCATCCCATATGAGTGATGGTTTGGGTCCAGCTGCTCCACTTCCAATCTAGATCCCTGCTAATGGCATGGGAAAGTATCAGAAAATGGCCCAAGTGCTTGGGCCCATGCCACTCACGTGAGACACCCAGAGGGAACTTTCTGGCTCCTTACTTTGTCCTGACCCAACCGGCTGTTGCAGTGAACCAGCTGATGCAATCAATCAATCAGTCTATCTCCCTCCCTCTATCCCTACCCTTACCCCTACCCCTCCCTCCTTCTCTCTTCTCCCTTTCTCTCTGTAACTCTGACTTAAAATAAGTAAGTCTTTAAAAAAAGTTGATGTATGCAGATAGTGGTTGGGCATAACTAATCCATAGTGCTCCAAAATATAAAACTTTTTGAGCACTGACATCAAGCCACATCTGACTTCGTGTGGCAGAATGCAAACTGCAGACACACTAAAAAATTACCATATAAAATAACCTTCAGAGGTGGGCACTTGGTGCATTGGTTAAGACTCTGGGATTCTCACATCCTTTGTTGGAATGCCTGGCTGGAATCTCAGCTTCACTTTTTTTTTTTTTTTTTTTTGACAGGCAGAGTGGACAGTGAGAGAGAGAGAGACAGAGAGAAAGGTCTTCCTTTTGCCTTTTGCTGCGGCCGGAGCACCGCGCTGATCCGATGGCAGGAGGCAGGTGCTCATCCTGGTCTCCCATGGGGTGCAGGGCCCAAGGACTTGGGCCATCCTCCACTGCACTCCCTGGCCACAGCAGAGAGCTGGCCTGGAAGAGGGGCAACCGAGACAGAATCCAGCGCCCCAACTGGGACTAGAACCCGGTGTGCCGGCGCCGCAAGGCAGAGGATTAGCCTAGTGAGCCGCGGTGCCGGCCGCACTTTTTTTTTTTAAGATTTATTTATTTTATTTGAAAGTCAGAGTTACACAGAAAGAGAAGGAGAGGCAGAGAGAGAGAGGTCTTCCATCCTCTGGTTCACTCCCCCAGTTGGCCACAATGGCCGGTGCTGTGCCAATCCAAAGCCAGGAGCTTATTCTGGGTCTCCCATACGGGTGCGGGACCCAAGGATCTGGGCCATCTTCCACTTCTCTCCCAGGCCATTGCAGAGAGCTGGATCGGAAGTGAACAGCTGGTACTCGAATGGCATGCCAGCACTGCAGACAAGTGGCTGTAACCGCTCGCCACAACATTGGTTCCCCAGCTTCACTTTCGATCCAGCTTCCTGCTGATACCCACCCTGGGTGGGTAGCAGATGATAGCGCAAGTGCTTGAGTCCCAGCCACCCACCCTGGAGTTGAGTTCCTGGCTTCTGTGTAGCCTGGACAGTCCTTTCTGTTGCAGGCATTTGGAGAATGAACTAGCAGCTGGAAGATGTCCGTCACTCTGCCTTTCAAATAAATAATAAATCTGTTTAAATCTATTTTGTGTGCTTAGACTTGGGCACAGTGCGCAGGATATTTTATGTATGTACAGATGTTTCAGAATCTGAAAATAGCTGAAATGTGAAATTTTGAGTTCTAGCCATTTCTTAAAGGAACACTCAATCTGTACCACCAAAAACTACAGCTAACTAACTTTTCATAACATTTGTGAGATCAGTTACTGACTTATTAACTTTTCAATATTTGGATCAAAGAAGGTAATGCTAAAAATATTTAGTACTTTCAGTTACCAAATTTTAGGTTAAAATGTTAGCATTATTGGTTAAATTGTAAGGTTTTTAAAAATTATTTATTTTGAGGAGATAGTCCATACCATGATTTTTAATGCAAATAAACAGCCATTAAAAACTACAGGTTTTTTTTTTTTTTTTAATTTTTTTTGACAGGCAGAGTGGACAGTGAGAGAGAGAGACAGAGAGAAAGGTCTTCCTTTGCCGTTGGTTCACCCTCCAATAGCCGCTGCGGCTGGCGCGCTGCGGCCGGCGCACCGCGCTGATCCGATGGCAGGAGCCAGGAGCCAGGTGCTTTTCCTGGTCTCCCATGGGGTGCAGGGCCCAAGCACCTGGGCCATCCTCCACTGCACTCCCTGGCCACAGCAGAGGGCTGGCCTGGAAGAGGGGCAACCGGGACAGAATCCGGCGCCCCGACCGGGACTAGAACCCGGTGTGCCGGCGCCGCTAGGCGGAGGATTAGCCTAGTGAGCCGCGGCGCCGGCCAAAAACTACAGGTTTTTAAATATTTAGAATATATTTTTAAAGATAGTATTCTAATTTCTCTATAAAATCCAGAACAATCGAGTAAAGTTATTTTGAAGTCAGAAGTGAAAGTAGAGGTAGTATTGAGAGCAAGATTAAAAAGGAAAAGAGACTAGATCTAGGACTGGGTAACCAAGAATTAAAGGGTTTGATTACCTTATTATTTAAATACAGTTTTAATATATTTTGCATTAGTGTGGTAAGATATTCCAGAGGTGCTACTGAGGGAAAAATACTTGTCTAACAAAAAACCCTTTCTCAAATACCTTGTAACAGCAGGTTTCAGAAATCCCAGCCTTGGCAACTGTTTATATTATTTGAATATTGTTACCCTTGTCATGTAATTGGGAGGTGGGGGGAGTTTGGTTGCCAGCAATAGCCAAAGCCTCCTGTTAAAACATGATGTAATGCATGTAAAGTGCTTAGAATAGTGATTGCCATAAAACAAATGCTTAGTGAAAATTTGCTCTCCTTAAAATTAGTGAAGCACATCCATTTGGAGCCCTAAGGCTGTCTTCTCTTGATTCTCAATCTCACTTCCCTTCACTAGTTGAACTCCCTAGAATTGTATTGTTATCCCTGTATTGTTCAACCCAAACATTCTTTCACAATGCACAGTGTAAAACACATTTTATATTTCTAAATTTAATTACGCTTTCAGTCTAATAATGGATAATACCTCACCTTGATGAAAACTTAGCTTTCCATGTTGACTAACCTTCCCTGGAACCCGCTTTTAAGTAGAGGCAATGTATTTTAATATCCTCTGTAACATGGAGTGGAAAGTGAGGTTGTCATCCTGATAGCTTCTTTCTGCTACAGCCAGACTGTAGTTCTGCATTTTATCAACAAAAAGTTCTTCCCATTTGTACTTTTTTTTTTGACAGGCAGAGTTAGAGAGAGAGAGAGACAGAGAGAAAGGTCTTCCTTTCCGTTGGTTCACTCCCCAAATGGCCGCTACGGCCGGCGCGCTGCGCCAATCTGAAGCCAGGAGCCAGGTGCTTCTTCCTGGTCTCCCATGCGGGTGCAGGACCCAAGCACTTGGTCTGTCCTTCACTGCCCTCCCGGGCCACAGCAGAGAGCTGGACTGGAAGAGGAGCAACTGGGACAGAACCAGCACCCCAACCGGGGCTAGAACCCTGGGTGCTGGCACCGGAGGCGGAGGATTAGCCAAGTGAGCTGCAGCGCCGGCCATGTATTTTTTTTTTAAATATCCCATATTTATTTTAATTTTTGTTTTGTTTTTTGAAAGCCAGAGTGACAGGAAGAGGGAGAAAGATTTTGTATCTGCTGGTGCACTTCCTAAATGGCCACAATAGACAGGGCTAGGCCAGGCCAAAGCCTGGAACCAGGAACTCCATCATGGTCTCCCACGTGGGAGGCCGGGGTCCAAATACCCAAACCTTATCTTCCACTGCCTTCCCTGGCATGCATTAGCAGGAAGCTAGATCATGAATGGTATAGCCAGGACTTGAAGCAGCACTCTGCTATGGAATACTGTCATTGCAAGCAGTGTCTTAACCTGCTGAGCCACAATGCCAGTGTCCTCCCCGTCCCCAGTGTTACTTTTCAAAAATTACGGGAAAATATGTATAAGGTGAAATTTCCCATTTCAACCTTCTTTTAGTGTACACTTTGTTGGCCTTACGAATATGCATGTTGTTGTACAATTATCACCACTCTTCATCTTCAGAACTTTTTCATTATACCAAAACTAAAACTGTGCCCATGGAAGGATAACTTCTATTTCTTCCTCTCCTTAATCCCTGGCAACCACCATTCTATTCTCTGTCTATGAATTCAACTACCAATATTTGCCCTTTTCTAACTTGGATGTTTTGCTTAACCTAATGTCTTAAAGGTTTATCCATGCTATGATACGTCAATTTCATTATTTTCTGAGGCTGAGTAATATTCCATTGTATGTACATGTATATCCATTTGTCTGTTGGTGGGCATTTGGCTATTGTGAATAGTGTTGCTACAGACATTGGCATACAAATAATCTGTTTAAGTTTCCATTTATCTGCTTTTGGGGATATATTCAAAAGTGGGATTACCAGATTATACACAAATATTTTTTAAAAAGGTTATATGTAACTTTTTATGTTAAATTTTTACCAGTTTTAATTTGATGATTTTATATCTGTTATACTGCCTTTCCACAGTAGTGGTATTATTGTACGTTCCCACCAGTGGTATACAAGGGTTCTAGTTTCTCCATGTCTTCA